TATTTAACAGCACCCACTTTGAATCAAACAAGAAATCTTCAAAAATAAAATTGAGCTTCAAGCTCAACAATGGTGGATATTCAAATACACATAAAAATTTAGACCTGAGAAGCTTACTCGAAGATACTATAAGCAATATTTTATACCACCCACAACGAATCAAACAATAAATTTTCAAAAAAAATTCAAATTCTGGAGCTTCAAGCTCAACAATGGTGGGTCTTCATACACACATTATATAAAAAATAAAAAGAACAAATATGTAATATAAGACGTACATACATACAGAAAAAGTAAAAAGAAAATAATTGTATAATTAAGTGAAATTGATCTATATGAATAACATAAAACACAAAAAAACATTCAATATAGAGAGAAAAAAGAGGAGTAATATAGGTCGTTTCACCTTCCTTTCTTGTTTAAATGTTGTTCGTAAATAATTTTATAGATAATAAGTGATAATTAATATTTAGCAGTTGTTGTATTTAGAAGTAAATGTTATTAACAAATAGTAGTATTAATTGATGTAAGTAATAGTAATATTTATTAAATCCTTTTGGTCTTATATGCAAGTATTGTCGCTTTTATTCCTATTTTCCTAGTCACAGGAGATATTATTTATTCTGTGTATATATACACAAATCGCTACCATAACCGAGATGGTTAATTTGATAAGCCAAATCACAGATCTTCCTAATGTGACTTGGATCCGATATCAAGAAATCATGTGGGACGGGTAAATAGTATTGGTTGCATAGGTAGGAAAAGTAAATGGTTTAGGTTTGGATATTTAAGGGTAAATAGTTTGGGTTTAATGGGTATAAAGTGAGATTTTCTGGTTTTGACACAGTTACCCACAAAAACAAAACTATTTACCCTTGTCTACCCATTTATTTCTCTATCCATAAACTAATTACATTTCCTACCCATAGTAGGTTTTGTGGGGAATTTTCTCTTTATTCTCCAATTTTTTTTTATTTCTATGCTTCTTTTCTTTTCTTTTTCTTTTCTCCTTTTCTTTTTTCTTGTTTTCTTCTTATTTTTTACTTTTTTACTATTCTAATTTCATTTAACTTCTTTTTTTTTATATTCCTTTTCTCTTCATAATCTAATTTCATTTACTATTTTCACTATTTTTTTTATATTATTACTAAAGAAAAATCAAATTATGTACCAATTAAATGTAGCTAATACAACCAAAAAAAATATTAAATAACATTTGATACCAGTATAGTATATAGTTATACCAACACGGTATACAATTGTACGCAAAGAGTTAAAAAAAAGTTTAATTCAATTATTAAACTGAAATAATATCAGTTGTTTATAAAAAATTTAAAAAAAAAAATCTAAAAGGATCTAATTGTAAGAGTATACCGTTACATTATATAACATACAATATTTTTTTTTTTTTTTTGCATTTTCAATTTGCCACTCACGCTAGGTAAAAGCTTAAAACAAATTAAAAGAGAAAAGCCAAGTGAATTTATGGGTAATAAATATACTATTATAGTATATTGTATACTATTACAACATATTGTTACAATATCTTGCATATTATTACAGTATACCATAACAATATATTTGTATACTATAATAGTATACTGTTGTAGCATAACTATATACTCCTATAGTATATTAGTATACTGTAGCGGTATACTATTAGGTAATAGTGTTCTTCTTCGATTATTACAATATACCATTGCAGTATATTGTAAACTATAATAGTATACTGTTGCAGTATATCTATATACTCCTACAACATATTGTATACCGTAGCGGTATACTATTGGATAGCTGTGTTCTTCCATTTTCAGCTGAAAATTTCGATCTCAATCACCTCAAATCAGCTCCAAATGCTATCAAATTTCACTATGAACTTCAAGAAGGTACTATAAGCAATATTTAATAGCACCTACTTTGAATCAAACAAGAAATCTTCAAAAATAAAATTGAGCTTCAAGCCCGACAATGGTGGATATTCAAATACACATAAAAATTTAGACTTGAGAAGCTTACTCGAAGATACTACAAGCAATATTTTATACCACCCACAACGAATCAAACAATAAATTTTCAAAAAAAAATTAAATCCTGGAGCTTCAAGCTCAACAATGGAGATACACACATTATATAAAAAATAAAAAGAACAAATATGTAATATAAGACGTACATACATACAGAAAAAGTAAAAAGAAAATAATTGTATAATTAAGTGAAATTGATCTATATGAATAACATAAAACACAAAAAAACATTCAATATAGAGAGAAAAAAGAGGAGTAATATAGGTCGTTTCACCTTCCTTTCTTGTTTAAATGTTGTTCGTAAATAATTTTATAGATAATAAGTGATAATTAATATTTAGCAGTTCAAGTAAATGTTATTAACAAATAGTAGTATTAATTGATGTAAGCAATAGTAATATTTATTAGAGCCTTTTGGTCTTATATGCAAGTATTGTCGCTTTTATTCATATTTAAATCCTAGTCATAGGAGATATTATTTATTCTGTGTATATATACACAAATCGCTACCATAACCGAGATGGTTAATTTGATAAGCCAAATCACAGATCTTCCTAATGTGACTTGGATCCGATATCAAGAAATCATGTGGGACGGGCAAATAGTATTGATTGCATAGGTATTTAAGGGTAAATAGTTTGGGTTTGGATAATTAAGGGTAAATAGTTTGGGTTTAATGGATATAAAGTGAGATTTTCTCAAAGAAAAAGGGTAACAAGGACACCCGGAACAAAAATTTATACATAAAAGTAATACTGATAAACTTAAAAAATACTCGTAAGTCTAAAAAATGGAGTGATAAGTGAAGACTCCTAAAACGGAAGGGAATTGAGAAAATTCGAATCAATAATATAATTTTTCATGTCAAACTCCTAAATATCAGGCAAAATAATTAACTGATCATTTATAAATTAGGAAAATAATTAAATAATAATTTCTATATATTAGGAAAATAACTTAAACAACTATTTTATCCAATGTGAAAAATATTTTTAAAAAATAATAAAGACGAACGATATTTCCCTAAGGGTCTTTTAATATAGTATAGATAAAATAATAATCCCGAGTATCAAACATAAAAAGGGATAGTGGAAAAAATTCCTATAATTGTAAGACACTATTGAAAAGGAGAGGTAACTGTCTTAACTGTTTCTATTTTGCATCCGGGGTCAATTCATAATTTTACAAAAATAGTGGGGTCCCAGTGACAACGATATGAGAAAATAGACACCGTATAAGGACCTCGTCATCGGTGATCTCTTCGAACAACTTTGCAGAAAAAGAGAAAAAACGAGGAAGCGGTGAACAGAATCAGAGTGCCGGCACCGGCGGCTTTTCCGATTTGTCTTCGCCGGCGATTTTCTTCTAGCTTTGGTGATTCCGCAAACTAATTAGTGTAACAGAGGTAAAGTTTCCTTATGACTTTTTCTTTCCAATGATTGCCCTTTATATCTTGAACTCAACACATTTGATAACTCAAAGAGCTTCTAATGCTAGAAAAAAGTTATTTACATTAATATTGGACTGACACGGGTGTAAATTGAGCAACATGCACAGTGAACAATTCACACAGCAGAATAAGCTGATTCCGACTTGCTTTTGTGATTAAGGCGTAGTTTGTACATGTTTGAAAACGGTGAGAAATATTTGATTGTTGTTTATTTTGCATTTTCTGAAATGTATAGTTTTCCTTATAGATCATATAGAGTTATGGTGGTTCTGTTCAGTGGCAGAGCCAAGAATTTTAACAAGGGGATTCAAAAATTTCGAACTTGCGACCTAAATTAAGTCGAGAGAATTCAAAAGTGTACATATATATGAAAAAATTACTTATTTTTTCCTTTTTGCGTAGTATAATTATTGAGCGAAGGAGATCCTATTGAACCCCCTTCTTTGGCTGTTGCTCTGCCACTCGTTATGTTTATGTGTCTCTTCTCGGTATCCCTGGAATAGTTATTACTTCCAAGTTAATTATTTTAAAAAGATTGTTACATTTGATTCTCTTTGTGTTATGCTATACATAACACAAAGCAAGTACCTTATGAAGTTATGATAATATAAAGGAATACCTAACATTCTACAAGGAGATACCTGTCTAAATGAAGCTATAGGCTGAAAGAATATTGCGAAGATGTAGTGTTTCTGAGAGATATCTAGAAGCTATTCTTGTTCTAGTAGTCTACGGTTTGTAATGGAGTTAAGTTCAAATTACTCCAATGAGGTGTACTTTATCTGCTGGGTTACAGTCGGGCATTTGCAAAAGGTTTCTAATCTACCCTTGTGTGATTCCTGTTGAAGCATGCCTCCCATAGAGATCACTTCTAGATGAACGAAACATTGTATTTTAATTTAACATATTATACGAGCTTCACCTATCATATCTTTGTTGACATGGACAAGTTCTTGCCTATCTCAAAAAATGTGTTTAAGGTTCTCTTCATGCCCCTCAACACCTTGCCCAAAATTAAGACATCCTAGCTCTGCCGTAACTTATGGTTTAAGTTTTTATATTGGAGGAGTGATTTTATGAGGTGAATAATGAGTGTTCGTTGCTCCCTGGGGTCTGCTGAAGCTTCATACCACTTGGCAGCTTAGCATATTTTAAAGGGAATGATTTAGGCTCATGGAATTTCTCTTTCTTCTGTTACTTTGCCTGCTCTCTCCTTGCATAGCTCCGAAGCGTTACTCGCCATCTTGCTGCAAACTTTAGTATCAACAAAATGTCCTTTTGACTTATTGCCTCTCCATATTTGTCTTTCAATGCCTTTACATGTTCCTCTATTCGTTTCTCTGCAATTCATCAACATACTGGAGTTTCCTTCCGTGCATCTCTTTTCCTGACATCCATCTTTCTTATTATCCAACTTGCTGTAGCTCTTTCCACTGCTTTATGTAGAACTCATACTATATTCAACAAGATATAAAGAAAGGTCCATACGCTACCACATAACTACGCTGAATATAATCCGTATTCAAGTTCTCCTTAGCAAAAGAGTAATCTGCATGCAAAGCTTCAGACATAGTCCATATCTTACAACTGGTTTTTCATGAATGAAATTGATTTGTGTGACGACCCGGTCGATCATCTTAAGAATTTATGCCCCGATCCCCTATTAACTTCTTTCCCCGAGTTTATTTGTACTATTTTAATTTGTCGGGATGTTCGGTTTTGAGTTTTGGAGAGTTATGAGACACTTAGTCCCTAAATGAGAGCTTAAGTGTTGGAAAGTTGGCCGTAGTCGGACAGTGTGAAGACGGCATCAGAATGGAAATCCGATGGTTCCGTTAGCTTCGTTGGGTGATTTCGGGGTTAGGAGCGTGTTCGGATTGTGTTTCGGAGGTCCATAGCTAATTTTGGCTTGAAATGCCGAAAGTTGAATTTTTGAAGTTTCCGGTCCGATAGTGTGATTTTGATCCGAGGGTCGGAATGGAATTCCGGAAGTTTGAGTAGCTATGTAGTGTTGAATGTGACGTGTGTGCAAAATTTCAGGTCATTCAGACGAGGTTTGATAGACTTTTTGATCAAAAGCGTATTTTTAGAGTTTTTGGAATTCTTAGGCTTGAATCCGATGAAAAATGAGTGTTTTGATGTTGTTTTGAGCTCTCCGAAGGTTGGAACAAGTTTGAATGATGTTTTAGGGTTGGTTGGCAGGTTTGGTTGAGGTCTCGGGGGCCTCAGGTGTGTTTCGGATGCTCAACGGATCATTTTAAGTTGTAAAAAAAATTGTGTTGCAGAGGAATTTTACTCTTCGCGTTCGCGAGTGGGCCCTCGCGTTCGCGAAGAGTCAGTTGAGGAAGGTGAAAATTAAGCCTTCGCGTTCGCGAGGAAGGCACCTCGTTCGCGAAGTGCTAAGTGTTTGTACATCGCGTTCGCGTGGGTGGTGTCGCGTTTGCATATAAGAAAATGAGCGGCTGAGTTTCAGTAGATTTAATGCATCGCGTTCGCGATAGGTGGAACGCGATCGCGAAGGCCTGTCTGTGCAAAGCATCGCGTTCGCGAGGTATTGGCCGCGATCGCGTAAGAGGAAAAATAGTCAAAGTCATTTTGTGCTTCGCGAATGCGAGGGTTTGACCGCTTTCGCGAAGAAGGAATTACCTGGGTAGATATAAGATTTCAAAAATCGAGGGTTTAGCCATTTTTATCAAAACTTAAGCTTAGGAGCTCGGATTTGAGCGTGATTTTGAGGGATTTTCAGAGATATCGATTGGGTAACGATTCTAGACTCCTTTTTGCTTGTAACCCATTAATCTAAACATGAATTCATCCTTTAATTTCGAAATTTGTATGAAAATTGGGGAAAAGTTCTTTGACCAAGAAATTGAGTTTTGATTGGGGATTTGACATCGGATTTGGATAATTTTGGTATGGTTAGACTCGTGAGAGTGTGTGGATTCTGAAACTATAAATTTTATCCGATTCCGAGATGTGGGCCCGAGGGGCATTTTGGTCATTTTACATAATTTCGCCTATTAGCTTAGAATTTAATTGTAGAATCAGTTACTTGAAGTGTTATTTACATTATGCAATTGAATTGAATAGAATTGGGCCATTTGGAGTCGAGTACTCGTGGCAAGAGCGTGGTTTCGGGTTGATTTTGAGCCGGTTCGAGGTAAGTCGCTTGCCTAACCTTGTGTGGGGGACCTTCCCCTTAGGATATGATATATTTAATAATTGAAATGCCTTGTACGTGAGGTGACGAGTGCGTACTTGAGCTAATTGTTGAAAATCCGTTTTTTCTTTAAGTATTTCAATTGAGTTCCTTTTTCCTGTTTTATTCCACTTGCGAATTTAGCCTGTTGTTAGTTTAGAAAAGCATGTTTAGATGACTTAATTGCCTATTTGCTTAAACTGCCTTAATTGCATTACGTGAAGCATGTTAGGCTAGAATTATCTGTTTACTTAGTACGAAATTTAGCATTTATTGAGTATTCTTGTGTTGCTACTGTGTGTTTTTAATTTGGGACTACGGGACGGCATCCCGGGAGATCCCCTGTACGTATTTATAATCTGGACTGAGGTGCGGAATACCAAGAGATCCCTGGCACGTATATTGAGGATACCAAGAGATCCTCGGGATACCAAGAGATCCCTAGCATATATTGAGGATACCAAGAGATCCCTAGCATATATTGAGGATACCAAGAGATCCCTATTGTATATATAAAGGATACCTAAAGATCCTCGGGATACCAAGAGATCCCCCGTTATCATCCTTGTTATGACTAGTACTTCCTTGTGCTTTGCCTTTATCCCTGTTTCCGTTATTGTACCCTTATTATCTTGTATAGATTCTTACTGTAGATTCTCAATTTTACTGCTTATCTTATCCGGTTATTTTTATATTTATTTAATCTTAGTAGGGCCCTGACCTTCCTCGTCACTACCCGACCGAGGTTAGCTTGGCACTTACTGAGTACCGCTGTAGTGTACTCATGCCCTTTCTGCGCATGTTTTTCATGTGCAGATCCAGGTGCCGCTACTCAAGCCTACCATCCTTGAGGGAGGCGACTACTCTAGAGACTTCGAGGTACATCTGGCGCGTCCGCAGACCGAGAAGTCCCTCTCTATTCCTGCTTTTTAGTACTTAGCCCTTCTGTATTTTCTGTTCTTGTTAGACATTCCGGAGTTAGAGCTATGTAGTACTTCTTAGCTTGTGATTCGTGGGTTTCCGGGTCTTGGATTTATGTTTTGGTATTGAGAGTTAAATACGGTGTAAGCCGAGCGGCACATTTAAACACTGTTATTACTTTATTACTGTTTTAAATTGTTTTACTTCCGCAAATTTTGGTTTTCTTCCGCAATTTAGGCTTACCTAGTCGTAGAGACTAGGTGCCATTACGATGGTTCACGGAGGGCGAACTGGGGTCGTGACAATTTGTGCTTGGGGGTCAAGAGAATGCCATAGCAAACTACGGTCTTGCGTCTACTTTAATCCATGTGGTTGATCAGGTGGTCATCATATCCTTGACTTGTGAACCATAACTGTACTGGAACTTCTGAAGAGACATGATTACTTCTGCCGTGCAATTTAACAGCAGTAATTGTAGGATACGAGATTGACTAGAAAAGTATTTCTCACAATTTGATTTTGTAGTCACCTCTCTCTCGTTTTCTTTCCCTTTGCAGTAGAACATAGGAAAAATTGAAGTTACACAGATGGAATTAAAATCCTGTCTCTGGTACCATGCAGAGAAAAGAGAGATGTTTTGGAAATATTTCAGCTTGATTGTGCCATCAAGCTAATAACAGTTTAAACATTGATGTACAGTATTTTCCTAAAATAGAAGGAATTTACTGAGTACATAATTACAAGCAAAGCATCTTCTTAATTGACCCTAACTGATAATGAATCTCCCTAATTGATATTGCGATATATCATATAACTACGATATTCTTAACATGTATGTTCACGTGCATTTAGATATTTCTCCTCAAACTCTACTACCTGCATTTTGCTGTGGTTTTGCTTGATGCCATAGTGTTGTGTCTTTTGTATGTGTATTACTAGCTTCTCTGTGTATTCGTTTAAATTTACCTTTTAGGGTGTTTTGGTGACTACATCCTAATTATCTAGAAGTTACATATCTTATCAGGTGATATCAATTGTAGTGGATTTTTCCTTTACCGGGGCTTGTCAACAGGAATTGCGTCGAGTTTCTGCTGAGCGTATTTGGCATTGGAAGATTGAAAAATGTCTAGTGGGGAGGTTAAGAAAGTCTCACGTGAAGATATACAACTGGTAAGCATCGAGCTACAATCATAACATTGGCTTTCCCATTTTTTTCTGTATGAATCATTTTAGGATGCCTGAATCAAATGGAAAGAGATAGAGCACACATTTTTCTTTGAGCATATAGAGCACGTACTTGATTGAGTTGTGAATAATTTGATAATCTTTATATATAATTTTTGATACTTACCACTCTCTAAGTTACTTCAAGGCAAAAGATACTTCACTCCCACAAGAATTGTTGCCTAACTCTGTAAAACAAGAATGTATATTTCAATTAAAGCAAATACCAGAATATGCAAGCAAGGCTGTTATTTGGAACAAGCAAGATTGTTGTTTGAAAATTGTCTTCCTTTAATTTAGCCTGATTCCCAGTTTTGTCCATTTATTTTGTGTTACCTTTAATTGTGGTCATAGGTTAGGTGACAGATCATCACTGCTAGAGTCTATATTTAGAACCATAACATCTAGCTTATTTATCGGTCTCCAGTAGTTATATGAGTCACAGAGCATTAGGGAGGAAAAAGGAACTATGGAGTTCTCTTTCCTGTTTGAAGGGTTATATATTGAAGGGTTATATTCAGAGGCGGAACTAGGATTTGAAGTTTGTGGGTTCTAACTTGACACCGAATCCATAGCATGTTTTAGTTACTGGGTTCACAATTATATATTAATACAAATTTAATAGATTTTCTAATACAAATAAAGGGTCTACGCAAAAGCTAGTGGGTTCGGCCGAACCCATAAAGAATACCCTACCTCCGCCCCTGGTTAAATTAGATTATCATAGAGGAGAATACTGTAATATTCTTATGGACCTGTATGCTATTTCACATGTTGTCCAAGTTCCATGGGGAATTATCATAAAGAACAGCATTACAATCTTCTGGTGGACCTTCTAGGAAATGGGCTTCTTGGGTCTGATATGGTTCATTCTTACTAATAATGACTTGGAGTTCAAATTTAGTTCTTTCGTATTTTAAAATTGCTTGCATTGCACAAGCTTTACTCTCCTAACACTGACCTTCTTTGATTTCAGGTGCAAAATCTCATAGAAAGATGTTTACAGCTTTACATGAACCAGAAGGAAGTTGTTAACACCCTCTTACATCAGGCAAAGATTGAGCCTGATTTCACCGAACTTGGTGCATACTCTCTCTCTTACCATTCTGCTCTTTTTGCAGAGTAACATATTTATCTGTACTCTCAAGTTTCATAAAAATTACTGAATTTGGAAGACCCGTGAGGAAATAATTTAGAAAAATTGACCTCTTATGAGCATTATTATAGGAATTAACTAGCATATTGGAAGATCAATCGGCCAAAATAACCATGAGCGGCTACGATGTTATAAGTTTCTTCCTCTTGACCGAATCTGTAACCTTCATTAGCAGATTCATTTTCTGTGGTTTCCCTGATCAAACTAGAAGTTACCAAGGAACCATGCATAGCACTGAATAGGGAGCCGCCGAATACACCAGCTACGCCTAACATGTGAAATGGGTGCATAAGGATGTTGTGCTCAGCCTGGAATACAATCATGAAATTGAAAGTACCAGAGATTCCTAGAGGCATACCATCAGAAAAACTTCCTTGACCAATTGGGTAGATCAAGAAAACTGCGGTAGCAGCTGCAACAGGAGCTGAATATGCAACAGCAATCCAAGGTCGCATACCCAGACGGAAACTAAGCTCCCACTCACGACCCATGTAACAAGCTACGCCAAGTAAGAAGTNGTCGGATGAGAGTGAGAATAGAAAGGAAGCTGGGAGGAAGAATGGAGTATAGCATTACCTCTAGAGTACAACCCGGACAATCGCTGTTGAAGCTCTACCCTCCTTTGGATATCAGGAAGGAGAGGTTGCTCTAATTCCGGAACGAGGACCTCGCCGCCCGCATTGATCAATATCAATAAGAATAGCAATCATTTCCCTTTTTATGGAAGGCGTTTCCTCCCTACTTATATTTCGGAGAAGTATTAGTTACCTATCGAAAATCAAATATTTAAGCTTAATTCTGATAGAGATGAAAATATCTGAGATTATTTGTAGAATTTCTTTCAGACTCTGCTTGGCCTTTCTTATCTCAAGTATCTGGTTGTGATCTATGTGCTCCATGTGTGTCTACTGGAAGATATTTGACATCCTGATCTCTTTTCCAGTTTGGCAAAAGCTTGAAGAAGAAAACCAGGAGTTTTTCAGGGCTTATTATTTGAGGTTGATAGTGAAGGATCAAATTCAGAAATTCAATGACTTGCTTCAGAGACAGGTCGAGGCAATGCAGATGTATGCAACTGGATCCGTCCCCATTTCTAATGGATCTCAGATTCAACCAGGTAAGACATGAATATCATAGATCCCTATTGGTCTTCTTGGAAATAATTTTCTGCTATCATTCTTCTTTTCCATAGTGAAATTTGTCATAGATCCCCACCCTTTTCTAGTTTTCAGCTTCCTTGCTTTAATTTTTCATACAATTGCCCTATTATGATTCTGGGTTGGATAGTCAAAGGAAAGGTCTGAGGCTTTTGAAGTGGAAGATGAAATGTAAATCATATGGATAGTTGTGGGAAGGATTTTATCAGAAAAAACATCCGAGAGGGATCTGTCTTTGGGCGCTGTGGTTGTGTTTTCAATATGAGACTGTGGGCATTTGTCAAAGTTGGTGATATGATAAAATTAGTTTCTGGATCTTCATATGTGAAATTGAGTAAAAGTTTGATAGAAATAGAGGGAGCTATAAATGAAATTTTGGCTTTCTCCACAGCATCATATTAGCAGTCTCAAAATCTTTCCTTGCAAAATCTTTGGATATGTATCCAATGTTTTCCATCTGGAAGTTAATGAAGTTGATAGATCCTTCAATCACCTGAATACATTATTGACATCCCATCTTATTAGGACAACATTACTGATCTTTGGACTTACGGTTAAGTGATAATGTACATTTCTAGGCTTTTACAGTTTTAGTTCTTATATTCACAAGTACTTTAACTTGATGCCCTTGGGTTTGTTTCCAAATTTAAAAACTGTTGAATGATAAAGGAATGAGACATTTTTAGGAGTGTTCAGCTTGATTATCCCTCAAGATATTGGGCCTTAAGTAAGATATTGGGTCTTAAGTAACATTTACTTAGACCAAAATGTGAAAAGATATTACGGGCATAAATCTTCTTAATTGATACATACTATTTTCATATCTAGCCCGGATGGTTTTGGTTCGGTTGTTAGGACACAACAGGGTATGTATGGATAGGTTCTCCACGAGTTCGAACTCTACCATCGGCAAAAAGCCTAGTATTTAAGAGGGACCATGGTAGAGGGATGGACCCATACTCCCCAAGTTTCAACCTGTGAGCCAACTGAGATTGCGCGAACTAACTCATAAGAGATTACTTGGTTATAAAAAAAAAAAAGAAACTAATAAAAACTTTTAACTAATATATACTTACAAATATTTCAAACGAGCCCCTCAAGATGCAGTTTATATATCATTCACTCCTTGTCGCTGGTGTGATTAATTTTGGAGCCTCGAAGTGATTTGTAAGGTTATCCAGTAGTTGGTCATTTGAAGCGATGAAGCTGTGGCAATACATACTGGCTTAATCATAAAATGGCAATCTACTGCTATCTGCTTCTTTTGTGAAACACGAAATGTGAAGCAATACTTTGTGCTGCTTATTTGTTAAAAGTCAGTTTTGGTACTTCACCACTTTGACATTCCAAATGTAGAAAAATCTGGTTTAACCATTTAAATTAAACTCACATGTGGCTAAAGTCATGAGTAAATATTCTGTTTCCGCGCTTTATCTGCTACCACATCTTGCTCCCCCTCCAATGGAGAAAAATGGAAAGAAAAAAAATAAGAAAAGGGAACCCCATCACCTGTAATGGTGTATTTGGTATTAATCATGTATATTGGGTAAGTTCCTGCATTTGATTGACTAGCATTATACAAAATCGAAAGACAGATTTTTTGATGAACATTATAAAGCAGGTTGTGCTGTTAGTTACAATAAATTCACTTGTGATAACTCTTGTTGGACATATGGCTAAGCGCAAAGGTAGGGAATAGCCCATCATCAAGCTCCACACTTTTATTATGGATTGTAAAGAAAGCTGTCTACCTGATTAGGAAGTGTATATGGAAATTTTTTCTTTTATCTTATTGTTTTATGAAGTATAATTCTAACAAGGATTGTTAATAGCAACTTGTCACGACCTAAAATCTCACCTGTTGTGATGACGCCTATCGTGGTACTAAGCAAGCCTCAACTCAACATCTCAACACAGAAGAACTTTTTAAATAAAGGCGAAAGCAGTTAATATTAAATAAAACTTTTTAGAACAGAATATAACTCCAAAAGTACTAAACAATCTATCCCCAAAACCCGGTGTCACTGAGTGCATGAGCATCTAAATGATAATAACATCCGACTGATAAAACACTGTCTGAAAATATAGAACAGTACAATATGAAAGGAAAGGAGAGTCAAGGTCAGCGAACGCCATACAACTACCTCAATAGTTTCCTGAGTCTGACTCCTCAATCAACAACCGCCGTGACCAGAAGTGCCTGGATCTGTACACGAGGTACAGGGGGTAACGTGAGTACACCAACTCAGTAAGTAACAGAAATAAATAAGGAACTGAGAAGTAGTGACAGGCTATACAATAGAGTTATCTCAATAACTTTCAAATAGGATTAGGCATACTTTCGATTGCAGTAATTTAGGCCCAAACAGTAATTTCATATCAAATTTGACTGAGCAGTAAATAATATCCTTCAATAATTTTCAAAACAGTGATATATGGCAACTACGATGCAACAATAATGTAGCCAATGCTTTCTCTCAGAATAACAGTCACTCTGTCCTCCCATTCACTCCAACCTCACAGTCACTCATTCCTCCCAATCACTCGGCACTCGCACTCAGCAGTCGCACTCAGTAGGTACCTGCGCTCACTGGGGGTGTACAGACTCCGGAGGGGCTCCTACAGCCCACGCGCTATAACAAACCACCTCGTGGCATCAATCACTCAGGCCCTCGGCCTCACTCAATCATAAATCAATAACAACATGCTGCGGCGTGCAACCCGATCCCATAAATATCCTCATAGATCAGGCCCTCGACCTCACTCAATCATAAACCTCTCAAGCCACTCGGGCTATCAGTAAAACGAGATGCTTAGCCCAAAACAACATTTCATATGTTTCAAAAACAGAGTAATAAAGACTGAATTATGAAATCAGTAAGTATAGCATGACTGAATATAGATTTTCAATCAGAACAGTGAGGGGATAATAAGTAAAAGACCCCTAAGGGTCCAAACAGTTCTGGCACAAGGCCCAAACTTGGCATTCAACCCCATTTATAGAAACTCTTTCCAAAACACATAAGTATCATATAGTTTCAGTCAAATACACAACTTTATAGTTGCTACATGACGGACCAAGTCACAATCCCTAACGGTGTACGCCCACGCGCCCGTCACCTAGCATGTGCGTCACCTCCAAAATAGTCATACGACACAATGTCCTGGGTTTCATACCCTCAGGATCAAATTTATAACTGTTACTTACCTCAATTCGAGCAAAATCCTACTCCGCAATGCCTTTTCCTCTCAAATCGACCTCCGAATGCCTCGAATCTAGCCACAATAATTCGATTCAATCAATAAAAATTATAGGAATTAATTCCATATGAAATTCTACATTTTTCACTAAAAATCCGAAATTGCACTAAATATTCGCCTGTGGGGGCCACGTCTCGGAACCCGAAAACAATCACGGAATATGAACCCCCATCCAACCACGAGTCGAACCATACAAATTTTACCAAAATCCGACAAAAATTCGGCCTCCAAATCATCAATCTTATTTTCAAATCTTTAGGCTCAAATTCCCGATTTACACCTCAAAAACATGTAATCTAGCCGAGATATTCAATGATAATTCAATAATATTGACTAACAAGGATCACAAGGGACTTACCTCAAGAATTTCCGTGATTTCTCGCTCAAAATTGCCCAAAACCCGAGCTTGGCAGTAAAAAAATATGACCAAAAACTGGACTGCTGGACTTAAAACTGTCCAGAATTGTCGTGTTTGTTGTTCACGCTACTGTACACGGATATTGTTCACGCTACTGTATACGGCTACTGTACACGCAGGTGCGGTCATTGTTCACACGTGCGAAAAATGCAGAAGTTGCCCAGAAAATTTCTGCAGTTAAATTCAAGTCCGAATTGATCCGTTAACCTTCCGAAATCCACCCGAGGCCCTCGGGACCTCAACAAAATACACCAACAAGTCCTAAAACATCATACGAACTTAGTCGAAACCTCAAATCACATCAAATAATGCTAAAACCGCGAATCACACCCCAATTCAAGCCTAATGAACTAAGAGCGTCCAACTTCTATATTCGATGCAAAAACCTATCAAATCAAGTCCGATTGACTTCAAATTTTGCACACAAGTCATAAATGATATAACGAAGCTATGAAAATTTTCAGAACTAGATTCCGCCCCCGATATCAAAATGTCAACCCCCAGGTCAAACTTCCAAACTTAAATATCTTATTTTTGCCATTTCAAGTCTATTTTAGCTACGGACCTCGAAATAAATATTCGGACACACTCCTAAGCCCGAAATCACCATACGGAAATATTGGAATCATCAAAAATCCATTTCGGGGTCATTTACACATATTTCACCTTCCGATCAATTTATCCAACTTAAGCTTTCTTCTCGAAGACTAAGTGTCTCAATTCATTTCAAAACCTCACCGGACCCGAACCAATTACCCCGGCGAGTCATATATCAACTCTAAAGCATGAATTTAGTAGTAAATAGGGAAAAAAGGACTGTACTATTCAAAACGACCGGCCGGGTCGTTACATCCTCCCCCTCTAATACAAACGTTCGTCCTCGAACGGGTCTAGACAAATACCTGGAGTCTCAAATAGGTGTGGATATTTGCTCCGCATCTCCTGTTCAGTCTCCCAAGTAGCCTCTCCGACTGGCTGGTCTCTCCACTGCACTTTCACTGAAGCTATGTTCTTTGACCTCAACTTTCGAACCTACCGATCTAAGATTGCCACTGGCTCTACATCACAAGTCAAATTACCATCCAATTGAACTGTACTGAAATCCAAAACATGGGACGGATCCCCAATATAATTCCGGAGCATAGATACATGAAATACTGGATGAACACCCAATAGGCTAGGTGGCAAAGCAAGTTCATAGGCCACCTCTCCGATCCTTTTAAGTATTTCAAAAGGTCCAATATACCTAGGACTCAACTTGCCCTTCTTCCCGAATCTCATAACGCCCTTCATAGGCGAAACCTTTAGCAGAACCTTCTCCCCAACCATGTAAGACACATCACGGACCTTCCTGTCGGCATAACTCTTCTGTCTGGACTGGGCCGTGCGAAGCCGCTCCTGAATTAATTTAGCCTTGTCCAAGGCATCCTGAACCAAGTCAGTACCCAATAGCCTAGCCTCACCCGGCTCAAACCAACCCACCGGAGACCGACACCGTCTCCCATGTAAAGCCTCAAACGGAGCCATCTGAATGCTGGTAGCTGTTATTATAAACAAACTCCGCTAGCGGTAGGAACTGATCCCAAGAACCCCAAAATCAACGACACAAGCACGTAGCATATCCTCCAATATCTGAATAGTGCGCTCGGACTGCCCGTCCGTCTGAGGGTGAAATGATGTACTTAGTTGTACCTAGCTCTCGCTGCACTGCCCTCCAAAATTGTGATGTAAATTGTGTGCCCCTATCTGAAATAATAGACACTGGCACACCATGAAGGCGAACAATCTCGCGGATATAGATTTCCGCTAACCGCTCCGAAGAATAAGTAGTGCCAACTGGAATAAAA